AAACCAATTATTAAGGAGTTGTAGATGATTAATAACATCCTTTATAAAGTGTTAGCAAATGATTAAGAACTTATTTAGATGTACATTATTCATGCATTTATATATATATATTGATTTAGATATGCACTAATGGTTAGGGACTATGATAATATATGCTTTATACATGCGTATTAACACTGTAATTCACGATTAATTCAGGTAGTTACTAGTCATTAGGTAAGCATTTTGTGTGACCTCATCTAAAGTGAGGACTATATATGCTTTACAAAGCATTTATAAAAGACATTGAATGGCCACCAGTGCCTCAAAACCCACAAAAGTCTCAGTTATCTTCTCAACAGAGAAGTCAAATAGACAAAACACAAAGTGATCAAGAACATATCAATATTTATTACAAGATGCAAACAATGTACAATAAATAAAGACAAACCTCTCAGCCATTCATTCATGTAAAAAACAAAACAAACAGATTGTCCTTCTGTAAAACTATACAAGTCATTAAAGCACACACATTCAAACTCAAACAGACATAAGAACACTCAAACAACGCATAGGAATTCATAAATCTTTGAACACAACAGGTTAAGGGCTCACCAGAGAGTATGATGGACTTAAAAGTTAGTTTGTAGCTCTGAACGTCGAAGGGAAATTTGTAAACTCTTATCCTGTAGGTGCTGACTACCACCATGTTGGTCTTAAGAAAGACCCCTCTATAAGTCATCGTATACTGTGTCAAAAAAAGCGATAAAAAAGTCATAGTATAGTCTGTCGAAAAAAGCGATCAAAAAGTCAAGGTATAGCATGTTGAAAAAAGCGATAAAAAAGTCATAGCATAGCATGTCGAAAAAAGCGATAAAAAAGTCATAGTATAGCATGTCGAAAAAAGTCATAAAAGGTCATATATAGCATGAATTGAACCAACTTAAAACATTAAATTGAACCAACTTAAAAAATGACACTACATTAAAAAAATTGAATTGAAACAACTTAAATTAATTAATTGAACCAATGTAAAAAAAATTACACTACATTAAAAGTGAATTGAACCAACTTAAAAAATGTAATTGAACGAACTTAAAAATGTCATTGAATTAACCTAAAAAATTTAAATTAAACTAAAAAAAAATTAATTAAAAAGAAGAATAAAGATTAGAAGAACAATACTTGGAATGCTGAATCAGCCTGCAGGATTATAGTCACTGTGCTTTTGCACAGGTAGTTTTACTGCCTTTGTGCTACAAAGCCACACTGAATTACTTGACTGTAATAGGAGGAAATAGCACACAGAGGTTTGAGAGGATACAAGAACTTATTCTTATATGCAAACACATTTTGGGTCATGTGGTGCGTTATGAAAGCTGTTCAATTATGCAGTGGGCATTTGATCTCAACAACCAGCCTTCCGGTTTCGAAGGAGAAAATGATGAGAAACGCAGCAGACTAAAGTGGCAATTACGAGGAACATGAGACATATAAGAAATGTTTCACTCCGATTACGCCTCAGTCATTGTGCACCACAAAATGGAAATGTTACACTTTCCTACATGATTTATTCTGCACTTTAAATGTTTTAGTCAACCCCTTAACAAGCATACTAAGATAAATGGTTTGGTCTCTTCTGTAACTGTTTGGAGTTCACTACCAAAAAGAAAGAATAATGTTACATTTAACCAAATGTAAAGAGGCACAAACTTGCCTTTCACCTTTATATGTTCATTCACTTCACAGTTCTGTTTTACATGTCATGCTCGTATAAAACACGCTCCTGTGGACGGTGTGATTTAAGTATCTTAAAATGGTTTCCTCAAACTAAATTATGAGGTTTTGTGTTTTCAATTGATGAGGATTCAATTGGATGACAATCCAAATAGAATTAACACACACTAGAAACAAAAATATATTCATTCAAAAGTAACTAAATACACCGACCAGCACTTCTAAAGCTCACTAATTAACACCTTGTTTGTTTAATCTGTACAGCATTGCGATAAAGTTGCAATACTGAAACGGAAAAATACTCCACAAGTAGAAGTTTTACAGTCAGAATTTTTACTCAAGTATCATCAGTAAAATGTGCCGACGTATCAAAAGAAAAAAAAAAGAGCAAAGTGTCATGTCCCCCGATCAGAGAGGACTAAAAGAGACAGAAAAAGGAAAGATAGAAGGAAAAAACAAGAGGAAATACACTTAAAAATGAGATATTTATCTCATGTTGATAGTAAGATCTGAACCAGCAATAAACAATATATGACCAACAGTATATGGAGCAGGTGTAGTTTATATGGTTTGGGTTAGCCTTAGTTTCAATTAAGGGAAACCTCAACGCAGTAAACAATGATAAACTTTCAACTTTGGGAGAAGATCCTTTCCTGTTTTAACACGACAACACCTGACATTAGTTCCCTCTGAAATGTAGCAGTGGAAAAGTAGATTATAACTCAAAATTAAAATACTTACATAAAGAACCAGAACCTCCAAATTGCACTTGATTAAATCGACTTCCCGTCTCACAGCTGGAGGTCTTTAGGGCAGCTCGGCACTTTACTGTGGAACTTGTTCCCGTCTGTTGCTGCACGTCTGCCTGTAGTCTCTCTCCTTCATGTCGGCCGTGTCCTTCAGCAGCCTCGAACGAACGGACTCATCCACCGTCATCCCGAGGGTCACCTCTTTGAACACCTCGCACACCGACACCTGTAACCGACACGAGGACGACGGTTTATACTCAGAAAATGTTCATATTCTGGGGTCGTCTCACTCAGTGAGATCATGTGATCGTATTACCTCCTGGAAGTGGAGTTTCCTGAACATGGCGATGCTGACCTGGTTGTTCAGCCCAATTTTCGCCTCAAACTTTTTGACCCCAAGTTTGGTGACCCCTGGTGGAAGACAAGATCACCATCACTCACAAACTGTCATTCACAATCTGCTCCACAGAGCTGGTGAACTCTGAAGTGCAACATGAATAAAATATAGGGAATTGCAGCTGCAGATCTCGGCAAAACGTGATTTGAAAGCCCAGAAAAAAAAAATGTTGTGTAGAATTTTCATTTGATTATTAAAGCATCTTCCAAATTTTTCCCAAAAAGTTTTTGCTTGCTGAAAATTCTGATAATTCGGGCGGGAGTCGGTGCAGTATGTGTTTTTAGTTGCTATTTTTCCGACTAGGAAAACAGCCGACAATGAGCACAACACAAGAGCCACTTGAAAGAGAATTCAAGAGGTTTGAAACAACAAATCTTTTGACAGATTGTATAAGATGCTCACCGTAGCTCATCATCATGCGTGTCACCTCGTTCCCGATGCCTTTGCCTCTGTGACTGGGCTCTGATCAGAACAAGAAACAGTGAGATGAATGGTTAATGTGTGAAAATCAAAGCACAGGTTGATTGCAGATGTTTTATAAAGCTTTTGCGATTGTATAACGCGTCAAGCGTCACCTGCTATCATGATCTCCAGCTCAGCCAGTGTTGGGTCTGTGGGGTCAGTCAGGAAGATGTTGACATCTCCCACCATGCACTGCTCCTCTTCTACACTGCTGTCTGCCCACCGCTGCTTGTCCAGGATGATGAACGTGCACTCTGGAAAGACAGATTCAAGACTGATTATAATAACCAAACAGCTTTTCTTGACATAAATGTCTAAATATTTTACATGTCTACAACCTCCGATTAAAAGTTAGGGGCAAAAGGATGCTTGTTAAGACATGTCGGCTCTTGATAAGGACCGGAAGGGTTATTTTCTGTATGCACATTGCAGGAAGGTGAACGCTTACTGTCATTATCTTCCCTCCAGCTCCTCTGCATGTCGTACTCCTGCTCCAGGGTCAGCGGCTCTGAAGCGGTCAGCTGCTGCAGCTCAGGAGACTTCATCCACTCGTGATACCTGAAACAGATGAAAGACACAGACATGATGAAGTCTTCGATGTAATCAAGACAAAAACTGAGACCAGGTTAAATGCTTTCAAAAAGATAGACTTCATTCACGATTTAGATGTGACTTATATCCAGACGTCAGATAAACAGTCTGCGCAGTCTTTATTATTTTTGAAACGTGGCTGACTTGTATGACACTAATCCAGTGGTGGAAGACAAACTCGGATCTTTTACTGAAGTAAAATCCTCTGTTACAAGTCCTGTATTTAAAAATCTTACTTAAGGTAAAGTACAAAAGTATTAGCATCCAAATACAGACACATCATTTACCAAAAGTGTAAGTACTCATTCTGCAGAATGGCCCATACAAGAGTAATTTATACATTATTACTGGATTATAATACATTAAGCATGCACTTTAATATTTCAGCTGGTAAAGGTGGGACTAATTTCAAACACTATAGCTAAACCTATAATAATACATCATCATTTATTAGTTGATTTATATTTAGTTTTAATTTAAATGTAGTGGAGTAGCAGCATTCACTGGTACTGGTCATGTAAAGTTCAAGTACCTCAACTTGTACTTAAGTACAGCACTTGAGTTATTACTATATTTAATTTGTTAAAATAAAATGTGTCAAAATAGAAAGAAGCTGTTATTAAGGAGCCAAATCATCATATTTAAACATGAAGCCAAACACGGCGAACAAGAAAACATCAGCAGAAGAGCAACTTAAAGAAATGAGCAAACTGAATGAATGAATAAAGATAACAGACGGAGACGCTCTCGTGCGTCTCACGCGTTGGTATTACCTGGGCACGTGCTCTGCATTGTAAGGAACCAACACGACTTTGTTTCCCTCCAGTAAAGTGTTCTCGTTTATCTTCATGGTGTTCAAATCCAGATGTAAAGCACAGATACAAATTTAAATCACCTCCACGTCCGTGATGTTGACGTTTCTTTCACTTCCGCTTCAACACTCGGTGGTTTAAACTGCGGCTGCGCTCAATGACATAAAAGTAGAGGGCGCCACCTAATGGACAACATTAGGAAGTACTTTTCCTGATTTTATGCTTCTAAAAAGTAACTTTATATATATATATATATTGCAATAATATTATTGATGCATTCATGTAAACAGTATTTTAATTCTGTCAACTACTTTAACTATGCAATATACTGGTACTTGTCAAATTAAACCATGCTTTTATTGTCCACATTTGTCTTCTTATGACCAAGTTGTATTTATTTTTTCCACAGTGGACGTTCCTAGTTTCCTCCCCAATCTACATTCATATTTAATGCTGTATAAAACATATTTTTATTGACGCTTAGTTCACAAACAGATAACTTTGAGTTTTTCAGTTTCTAAATTATAAACCAAAAAGATGTTATAACGGTTATAAAAACAGCAATGATGACACTGAAAATTTAACTCTGTCACTTTATTATTCACATTAAATCTTGTATGCATATTTAAATAAATGATACTGTGAAATGTTACAAAGGTGTAAAATATGAATTATCTTTCAATTTTAAGATGCAAAATACTTAATTGTTGGTTGCAAAATTGAGCTTGTTTAAAAAAACCAAAAACATGTAAAGTCTTCTCTAGTTGATAAGATATTAAAGTTGCTTCCGATCTGCTTTCTGCCCCTTCAAGGCAGGGTTTTTATGTGTTTAAGTGGCTCTGCCCAGTCCGTGCCACAGTTCAACCGGTTGTGGTGTGTTGACCATGTCCATCCAGTGCTGCAGCTGTTGGCCCCTGGCGTACATGAAGGGGCCCAACACCAGCACTCCCAGCAGGGCCGGAGGCTCTGGGAGAACAACACAGGCGGAGCAGAGCCAAGGTGAATACACAGCTGATTTAACACTGAAGTTTATGTAGCAGGACATCAGATATATAGCAAGCACATTAAGTTTCACCTGAGCGGACGACGTTTGGCTGCTGCAGCTCAAATCTCAGACAGGCCTCGTCCAGGTGCTGCGAGCGCAGTTTAAAGGTCACCCTGTGGTGGAAATAGGGGTTGTTTTGACTCTTCATCACGCAGCTGCGCTTCATCTTCACCACCTGAGTGTGTATCTGTAAGCTCACCTGGACACACACACCTGGGGGAAACGTCAGATGCAAAGTTACTACCCCAGCGACTCAGCTGAGATTTAAATAGATTTGTTTTCATATTTTCGAACCTGTGAAGACGTCAGATGACCAGTGCATACATGGACACATGTCCACAAGCTTTTAACCTGAAACACTTACCTGCATCCGTGAGCAGCTGTAGGCCTCGAGCCCTCAGAACAACCACAGAGAGGCGCTGCACACATGGACTGTAGCTGAGAGAAATCTGCACATCACCCAGCTCTGAACACTGAGACAGATCAGAGATGACAAAACGATTTAAATTTTTGCACACATGCAGACATCCTGTGTGTTTCTGTGTGTACCTGTCAGTGGTGGAGGAAGTATTCAGATAAAAGTACTTCATTACATTGCACCACTGGTACCTGTGTGTCGTCCTCTGTCTCCAGGTCCCTCCAGAGCACCCTGCCAGCCTGACCGAGCTCCCCCTCCAGAGGAAACAGCACCCTGCCCACCGCGTGGCGTTTGCCGTCTTGCTCCACACTCAGCACACACACGCTCAGGGTGCTCTGAGGCACGCACACACCTGACACCTGTGTGGAGGGAAACACACAGGAAGCGTGTGAGATACGAATGGTTCTTCTGTCGCTACGGTTGCATTCATTCTTCCGTGTGTCCTCGCCTGGAAAACAAAGCAGTCGTTGAACTCCGGGTCGGGCCCCGTGCCCCGGGCCTTGGCCTGGCGGGGCCGCCGGTCATCAGGGAGACGCCGCAGCTCCACCAGCGTGACGTTGCCGTGAAAGCGGGGAGGGAGGTTGCCGAGGCGGAGCAGGGAGACCATGAGCTGCTCGCTGCTGTGTCGGTACTCCACAGAGAAGCAGAGACGGGTGGCCATGCCGGGTGGAGGTGCCACCACCTCGTTGAGAGGAGGAACAGCGTAGAGACCGGCCAGCACCGTCCCCACTGGGTACCATCCTAACAACAACATAGGAAGTAAACCACATGAGGTAGCACCAGAGTTATCCATGAATTTAGGTTTGCCAATGACTTTAATTTAAAGGACTAAACCCATCTTGACATGCTGTCATATAAAGGCAGTGATGACCTACTCCCTACTGAGAGTGACCCACGATGAGCTAGTATGTCCCTGTGGGCCTCCATCTTCATCTCCTCCTCCTCTTCCCTCTCCTCTTCATTTTTCACGTCACCATGGTTTTGTGTCGTGAAGCGAGGAGGCAAGGTGAAAGGGATCTCACGGGGCCTTTCACACATAAACACACACATACATAGAGATGTTATTAATTGTGGCTTCTGCAGCATTTTATATCAACTTAAATCAGGACCACAGGTCCCAAAATCTCTGATGCTTCCACGTAAAGGATGCCGTTCTTCACTGAGAGGGTCACTTTTTTGCTTTGCTTAGCAGCATCAACGTGTAGCAAAGGATATTTTTTCATTGTTTCAATCCTGTTTGTGTTTGAACTGATTTTGTGCCTTAAAGAGCGCATTACACCTGTCCTTAAATCACTACATTATTGGCTTCAAGTATTTTCACTTAGACTGTGAGGTTCTCCTGCTTGTCTCTAAAACTCTGAGTAGCCTTGCCCCATATATGTTAGATCAGATTTCTTCGGTCATCTGGTTCTATCGTGCTGTAAAAATCATCTAATAATATGCAACATATCCTTTGTAATCGATATGTATGAGTCTAATGATTGTTGTGAATGTCTATTATCGTTATTATTACTGTTCATCCTTCTTTCTTTTCTCACGCCTTATCTCCTCTCATTTCTGTAAACTATCGAATGATCAAAAAGGCAAATAAGTGCTTAAAAAATATGTATGTTGGCTAGCTGGGAAAGTATAACGTTTGTACTGTTTCACATAAAACTCGATAACATGTAGGACTGTGTGCATGTTTATTTCGTGGTACTAACGTGGCGAAGGAGCCCTGAGACACCAGCATCACCGGAGCAGAGCATGCCGGTACTGAAGGCACTGTAGAGATCAGCTCCTCGTATTGACTACGACCCTTCTTCCTCCTCTTCCTCCTCCACAGATAATACACAATCAGACCGAGCAGCAGGAGACCCACGGACACACCAGCAGCCAGCAGTAACACCTGGTCTGAACAAACGAACACATCAACAGGGAAATTAAGTCCAGGCATCTGTCAAATACACTGGATCTAATGCAGTTTACCGCTTACCTGCCATGATTATTCCTCAGTCTGAAGCTACTTTTTAGCATTAGTGACTATAACGTGTGTGTCTCTTGTTGTCGACCTGTTTAGCTGTGAGGTGATGTGACCCTGGAGAGCAGAGAGAGAACGACACAGCTGGATGATTCTCACCGTGTCATGCTGTTATCTGGCGGCTGCTCTCGCTTTAAGGGGAGAAACTACCAGCAAAAAAATTTGTTTGACTGTTGGGAAGAAAACATGTAAAATATACATTTAGGTGATTATTTTACTACTTTGTCTTTTTGTATCTTTAGATTTCTCCTAAATAAACTGAAATATCAAATATCCATGACACCAAGAGGATGAATCCTACTGACTTTGGTGATTCTCTGACTTTTCCTCAAGCACCACCACGGGGTTAACATTTAGTGCACTCTCTTTAGCAAACTCTTGGATGGATTGACATGAAATGTGAAACATGAAACTAAATAATATACATGCAACATGGCTGCTCTGACCTCTGACCTGAGCTTAGTTCAGAATCAAAATGCTCATTAGCTTGTCGCCACACACACACACACAGACTGTTCAGAGATTGGACGGCAGCTAATGGGATGACAGCTAATCCTCAGAGCTAAAGGTAGAGTAATGGCCCTCTCTCAGCTACACACGCATATGTGCACAACACATGCACAAAGAGAAATCCTCCTTTTCAATCTGACGACAACTTCATATGGGGTCCTTTTTACGAGAGAAGAGAAAGAGGAAAGACATCAAGCTGAAGACGAGTCACAGCAGTGTCCGAGGATCGGAGGGCGGCTGGAAACAAGACAGATTGTCTTAAGAAGTGAGGGAGGAAGAGTGGGAGGGATGAGGGGAGGAAGGAGAGACGCCATTTAGCGCTACCTTCTCTCTGCCAGGACAGAAGGGGCAAAACAGCACACAAGGTGTGATCGCAAAAGGTAAGGCATTGTTTTTCTCTTTTATTGGCACTTTCATTGCGCTGTCATATCTGCGCGTTAACTGGCTGTTTATTCTTTCAGTACATACACATTATAAAAGGTATAGCAGTGGTCGAAACTCTGCTAGGTCAGTTTAATATGGAATTACATGTTTTGACTCCACTAAATCAGGCGGAGGATATTGATTTTTAGTGAGCCACCGACTGAACAATAAGGATAATCATCTTTTTAAAAGCATAAATACACAGGAGAATAAAATTAGGCACAGCATGCTATTGGCAGATACGGAAAAAAAAAGTTAAATTAGTAAATTGTAATTTGTTATAATTTCGACCATTCATTCTCACTGCCCCTGCCTTTCTTTGTCTTCTGTTAACTGAAGGCCAAATGCTCACTTAAGCTGTCTCAATCAATCTACATTTTGTCTCAATAATCAATTAATCTGGATTGTGTAATCCCATTAGGGTAATCTGGGAGTGCCTGTCTTCAGGAGTCTTTGTGTGTTTAGACTTGTATATCTATCTTTGTGAGGACCAGGTTGAGTTTTAGACCTTCAGGGTGAGGACATGTTGGCCGGTCCTCACTTCTTCAAAGGCCTATTTGATGGTTCTGTCTTGGTTTTAAGGTTCAGGTTAGAATTAGGTTGAAAAAAAAAAATTTGTAATTAAAAGGTTTCAGATTAAAAAAATCAAATCTTTACAGGTTGGTGCTGTTGCCATGGCGAGGCCTGGACGTCCCGTATCTGAGAGCTACCAGCCCGTCTGTCGTTCAGTCAGTCAGTCGGCCTCTTACTCCAGTGAAGCCAAGATTCTGGGACGAGAGGATGGCGATGACCAGGCACCCATTTTCTCCCTCTCTAAGAGCTCCATGGATGTGGTGATGGCGACGGGGCCGTCGCACAAGCGGGACCCGTCCTGGACCCGCGTGGACCTGAAACGCAGCTCCAGCACCAACACTCACTCCGAGCGGAACTCGGTGACGCTGCAGCAGCTGCACCCTCACATGTGGCAGCACATCAACTCCACCAACAGCCACCAGTCATCGCTCTCTGACCAGCACGCGGACGTGCACAGCCCTCCTGCCCTCAGCGAGCGCTGGATCACCAACATGCATCGCTGGAGCGCGTGCAGCAGCAGCACACACAGCCGCAGCAGCACTCCAGACACAATTGTGTGGAAAGGTGGGACCTCACGGCCCTCGAGTCTAACCCAGGAAACTCCTTGTTCTCCGGTGTTCGGATCAACCTCTTCACCAACCACATCCTCTCACTTCATCTCCCCCCTACAGACACCAACTCTACCACCTGCAGATCTTTTAACTTCTTCTTCTTCAACACTAATGCTGAGCACACATCAGCAGGGAGACTCCCCCAAACTCTCTCCCCTGCCGTCACCCCTGCAGGCTCACACCTCCTCACCGTTGCCGTCGTACTCCCCCGATCTCCTCCAGCTCACCAGCACAGAGGACGAGGGCTTCCTGGAGAATAACTCTTTTTCTTTTACATTCCCATCCCCGATCCCGTCGTCTGTTAGCTTAGCAGAAGCAGGTGTGTCATCAGATGCTGGATGCCTTGTTGATGACGTGATAGAGGAGCTGCACAGTCCTGGTGGCACGGAGCTGTTGGAGGGTGGAGGAGACAGAAGCCTGGCGCAAATGTTAAACTACTTGACGCCTACTTCTCCAGCAGATGAACAGGAATCAGGAAGAGAAGCCTCAGTTTGCCATCTTGAGCAGCCATGGCAGCCGGGGCCAAGCTGTCCAACAGGCCGCGGTTGGAAGTCACCCCTGGTTTCTTCCTTGAGCGACTCGCGATTGGGGGACTGCTGCAGGTGCAATTTCAACACCAGAGAGGGCATCATAAGGGCACATGTGTTCAGGGAGGAAGGGACAATGACTTCACAGCTGGAGCTGGTGGATGCAGCGGTGCAGACGTCTCCCGTCGGCTCCTTGTGGGGCCTCAGGAGGAACACGTCCAACTCCAACATGGGCTCCCACTCCTTCTTGGGCTCGCCGCCTGGATCAAGACTGAACCTGAAGTCCTCAGTGGGGTCCAACTCCAATCTGGTGTCTCCGTCCTCCAGCATGTTCCCGGTGAGCAGCGGCGAGGAGGAGGTGGTGAGGCGAGGAGATGACCCGACGTGGGACGTCAACTCTGCCTCCTTGCACGAACTGGAGAGAAGGAGGTCGTGTCTGAAGATGAAGATGGGAGAGGACGGTGACGTGATGGGAAGGAGGGGCAGCATGAAGCAGGTGCAGTGGGACGAGGACGGGATGACATGGGACGTTCACGGAGCATCGCTGGACCCCGAGGTGCTGAGCACGGCCATACGGAAACATCTGGAGCTCCAGAACAGCCCTCGAACGCCGAGACGTACCTCGAAGAAGAAGAAAGCACCGAAGCCTCCTCTCATATCGAACGTGGTGAAGGCCATCGCCCCGGATCTTCATCCGCCTGTGATGATTATTACCTCGACATGTACAGAGAGCGAGGGGACACCAGAGGAAGACGGAGTGAGGAGGGAGGTGGAAGAGGAATGCAGACGGAAAAAGGAGGAAACAGCAGAAGCTGTTCGTAGAATAAGCAGAGCAGAGGCAGTTTATGCAAAAGAAGAGGACGAGGTGTACAGAGAGGAAGGCACCACCTATCCTAAATCACCTTCGAGTGGGAGTGGACCCATCCGCAAGAAGAGCGTGATCAGGTCACTGAAGAAGCCTGGGTGGTGTGGAGGCTCCAGCAAGGCAGTTGACTGATTTAGGAGACTAAAATCTATGGCTGATCAAGTCCTCAATATGCACAGATTAACTGCTAATAAACTCATTGACGTTGGGAGCAGCTCTCACTTTCATGTGTTTTTTATCCTGCTGTTGAGACTTTCTCTTTGTCATTTGGTAAAAAGATGAGATAAAATGTTTGAAGTGTTGTTCCTCCACTCATTAGGATCTATATACTTTTTAGAGAGGGTTTAATTTCTATTGGATGGAAAAGTCCCAAAAAGGCTGCTCTCACTAATGCGTTGAGGTTGTTAGTGCTGTATGAAAGGAATACGACCTGAAGATACTCTTGTAGACACAAAAAGTGATAAAAAACTAAATGTAATCTCTCTTTATATTTACAGTTACTATTCTTCTAAAACATGCTTGAACAAAACATCAATCAAAAAAGCCAGTAAAGAGTTGCTTGTTGTAAATATGCAATGAAAGTATCCATCATTTCTATAAAGAATATATTACTCAATTATTTTTTATTGTACTTATTTATTTTCTAAAAACAAACCTACACTTTGCAGTTTAATGATGCGTAGATGCATTTTCTTGTGAGGTCTTCATGAAAGTAAAGAATTACCTGCAATTTACTCAGACTAAAGCTACCAGGAGGGAATACAGTTCTTCATGAAGATGTTCAATAAAACCACATTTTGTCTGTGTATCTCTGTTGCTCTCAACATGTTTGTTTTGTTTAAGATGGCAGTTGAAACATTATCATCATGATAAGCACAGTTTTGGATGTACTTGTACTTTACTTGAGCCTTACCGATATGGAATTTCTAAGTATACTGATACTCTCAAATATCAACCTTTAAATTTGATTTATTTAATAATTGTGACACTAAATTACCTCAAACATATCTCGCAATGTCTTGTTACTTAACGGCCGTACACAGATAAAGCTGTGATCTGTCTACTTCATTCCATGTCAGAGGGAAATATTGTACATTTTACTCCACAGCATTATTAAAGTTACTGGTTGAGTTTAAACACAAAATGTGTTTAAAGAATATGATACACTGTAACTAAGCAGGATATAAAGTAATTAGTTCCGCCTCCTCAGCTGACATCAGTAAAATGCTGCTTACACATTACATAATATTTCTAATAACATAACCTTGTGAGAGGTGCAATACTGCATAATAAATGCTTAAACTTTTGAAAATGTAAGTACATTTAGCTGACATTAATTATATACTCAAGTAAAATCACTGTATACTTCTGCCACCACGTCTATTTGTGGTTTTGCACACTTTTGAGACTTTATTTGTCATGTATTCCTCTAGACATAAGAATAAAAGACGGTGCAGCCAAGATCTAACAAAATAAGGGAAGAGCTGTGAAAGCACATGTCAGGATTTACTCTCAAATATTTACACAGATAATCACGCAGGAGGCGACTCAGCTCAATTATGTTGTTTGAGCACACCAACTCAAAAACACACCACTGAACTCCGCCTCCCTCATCATCCCACACTCGCTCAACTCATTCACTGTGGAAAACATACACAAAGTTGAGTTGCATGTAAACTTGGTGAACCACAGTGGTTCAGGCGCTGCCATTCAGATGAGCGGGCACATTCTCTCTCATTCACCACAGACTCAACTCACTAGTGGCTTCCACTGCAGTTATTGTTGTCATATTTTCACAGAAGTGGAGCGGGCATGAAGGTCACTATTGCTTTTCATTTATGTTACTTTATATTCTTCTGGCCATAAAGGGTCAATGCACCAAAATGACATAAAGATATTCCATTGCCCTCTTGTACGATTTGGTTTCAAAGCTCGGGCTTTCAGGTCAAATAAGAACAGCTGTCACCCTGAACCATCCACCAAATACTATTTCTTCTGTGGTGAGTCGTTACACCAACAACCGTCAGCATCTAGCAACTGTAAATATGCTCCAAAATGGATTATAAAGAGTAGCAACAATACAAACATCAGTATTGGACACATTGACATTTTGACATGATGATGACAAATGATCACCAAAGTTTTTACAATTCCTCCTGAGGGGGAACATTTATGTCCGTACCAAATTTACTTCCAATCCATCCAAAAGTTGTCGATATATTTCAGGGCCAGTGTGTAGCATTTCGGGGATCTGTTAGCAGAAATTAAATGTAGTATTCATAACTATGTTTTCATTAGTGTTCAATCATCTCAACCTAAGAATTGTTGTGTTTTCGTTAGCTTAGAATGAGTCGTTCATATCTACAGAGGGAGCGGGTCCTCTTCATGGAGTCCGCCATGTTGCATCGCCATGTTTCTACAGTAGCCCAGAACAGACAAACCAAACACTGGCTCACGAGAGAGACTTCCATGTTTTTACGTCACCCGAAGGCCACCGCAGTTCTCCGACTTGAGAAACTGTGGTAACGTGAGCCGCAGAGTGCAAAACCGTTGTACCACCAGCCGCTGTCTGATCTCGTAAGATTAGCCTCTGAGCAAGATGAGGCGTTACTAAGTTATTAGGACTCATCCTCTGGGGATCATGAACGTCTGTACGAGATGTTATGCCGATCCATCAAAGTGACTGAGTCATGTTTACACAGGATGAACTACAGAGGAGATTTTTTATATCAGAGATGAAGGTCATGTTCAGGTCACTGTGTCATCGCTGTAAGTCACGTGACATGATGTGATGTTTGTGTACAGTGCTGCATTGCCTTTGTGCTGCGTGCGTGTGAGTGTACTTTGAGCATACTATATGTATGTGAAAGTGCTGATGGGACTCCCCGAAATCCCCCTTCTTCTCAGCGGCAGTGGAAACCCGCAGCTACAGGAGAACGATCCAGCGCTCGGCCTTTGTTGTGACACCGCTCATTGTCCTGCCGTTATATGTGTGTACTGTATGTGTACACCTGCGTGCGATTGCTGCCTGGTATAAATAGCGTGGGATGTGTGCCGGCCTCTGATTCTGCGATAGATGATGGCTGTACCGGGACCTCCTCTGCTCCTCCTTCTGTCTCTGCTGCTGCCGCTGCTGTTGAGCAAGGCATCGCTGCCTGCAGCTGCATACACACTCACCCCCGGACGACAGCCGCAGCACAAGCTCCTCCACCTGGGTGAGGACAAAACACATGCACAAACACACACCTCCAAGGCTCCTGTTAAAACATACTTTAACGTTTTTTTGATTTGAATGTCTGTTCTCTGTGTTTTAAGAGCTTCATCTGGTCTTCTACTCCTCTTAGACTGGCCTAGGGACTGTGGTATGGCTCACTTTAAGCCCAACATGGCTGAGAGGATTGTGTCTGGGAATGAGGCCAGACCTCACTCTTGGCCCTGGCAGGTCTCTCTGCAGGTAAACTTCTTTGGGTTGGTGTGGTTCAGTATTGGGAGGTCTTGAATTGACTGTATGAAATTTAACATAAAAAACTCCAGCACACTGAACCCCGGCCAAACTCATCGCTTCTAGGGCTGCGACAAACAATTATTGTCATGATTACTTTATGTGTTGATTGATGTTTTCAATTAATATTATAACAGGAGTGTGCTTACATTAGTAGTTCTAGTATCCCAGTTTCGAGCCTTATCTTGGTTTTGATTGTATTCTGATTCCTGTTTACAAAATCTTCATCTCACTGTGTACATGATCATAACAGTATCCAGGCTTCTGATCATCTGTTGGTGTAGTTGTGTCTTGATTTCTCACCATCTCTGCAACAATTGTCGGCACCAACAAAGATTTTAAAAAATAGCTTCATATTTCTATGAGAATATTCACTTCAGGACTAGTAGTATAGTTATCTACTAACAATGGAGAGGCTGAGCAAATGCACAGGTCTGAAATTAACTTGTAACTGTAATCAAGTCCTGCATTAAATCCCCATGTGTCATACAATAGTTAAGTATTACCTAAGTATATGATATGTACCCTTATTATAAAGTGTTACCAAGTAATTTCTCATCACTGATCTGTCTGGTTGTTTCTCGTAGGTTCGTCCCAGGGGAAGCAAACATTACATCCACGTCTGTGGAGGAACTCTCATCCACAAGAACTGGATCCTAACTGCTGCTCACTGCTTCCAAAAGTAAGAAACCCTGAGCACAGAGTAGAGGATTTAGTTGTGATTTGAATACGTTTTTGTGAAAACCACGAAGGCCGTGCTTTAACTATTTTTTTTGGCCTATTAGAGGTAAAGCTGAGGATGCTGGGAGCTGGAGGATCGTCGTGGGGAAGCACCAGCTGAAGCGCTCAGAGAAGGCAGAGAGGATTTTCCCAGTGAAGAGAATCTACCGGCACGAGAACTTCCGTTACCCGGCTCACAGCGAACTGGACTATGACATCGCCCTGGTGAAGGCTGCCACAGACATAGTCCCTTCAAACTTCATCCGCTACGCCTGCCTGCCGCGCAAGCAGACCAGCCTCAATCCAGGACACTACTGCTGGGTCACAGGCTGGGGGGACACCCGAGGTGAGTGGAAGAGAGGGGATGTAAATGAGAAGGGGAAAAGTCATTTGGTCCACTGCTGGTTGTGTAATAGGAAAAGCCAGTGAATCAATAGGATTCATCCTCTGGGGATCATGAATGTGTGTAAAACAATGTTGTCACCATCTGCCCAACAGTTGTGGAGATATTTCAGTCTGGCTAACGTTGATAAATAGGTTTAAACTTTAATTTTTGTTCTTGAACACATTTCAGGTGGGAAGGAGAATGTGTCTCTCGCAGAAGCCTTGAATCAAGCCCGCCTGCCCATCATTGACTTCAAGACCTGCCGGCAGAAGAAATTCTGGGGCGACCGTGTCCGAGACTCCATGATCTGTGCCGGGTTCAGGGACACCGAGGGCCCGCCTGCTGCCTGCCAGGTAGGACTGAGATTTACACACAGAGTTGGAGGTAGAAGTGAGAATGAATTTTTACCTCACGACCCGTCTCTCCCCTTCTTCCTCTCTCCCAGGGCGACTCTGGTGGTCCTCTGCTGTGCCAGCAGGGGCAGGACAGCTGGGAGGTTCACGGCGTGGTGAGCTTCGGCCCGATCGGCTGCACCGTGGAGAACAAACCCAGCGTCTTCACCCGCACCGCCGCCTACATCCCCTGGATTGAGGCCACGCGCATCAGGGACTTCTTCCTGCACTAAGTGGGCGCCTGACTCAGCGCCGACAGCAAACATAAGCTCTGCTCCGTTTCATGTCTGACTTACCATCTGTTTCTTCCACTACAAGATTTAAATGCACATTCTGAATGTGAAATTATTGTTTTCTGACACACCATATTTTAGTCTTCATGTACTACTCTGGTTTCACAACAGCAGTAAGTTGTGGCAGAGCACTGCATAGTATACACGACTCATGTCCTTTTACATCCAGTCTACATTCACGCAATAAAGTTGGTTAAAAGCAAAATCTTTGTCAACATTTCCCATTTTTTTAATATAGTCTTTAGTACAGCGGGTTTGATGGAGACACATAAACAGCTTTACAGTGATCACTTCTTGGAAAGTAAAACAGAAACCACCGCAGAAACGCTTCAATAAATACAAGAAGAGCCGACCATCAGGCTCAGTTCTGTGTTTGTGGATCGTAGTTGAAATTCTCTTCGCTCTCCTGTTAAGAAGTCTTTCAGTCCATTCATCTGGTGAACCACGCACCAGATGTCCTCTTATAAATCGGCTCTTTTAACCCAAATATCATGGGTTCATTGATTTCAAGAATAGCATCAAAGAAGACTACCATGTCTCCCATAAACAATGATATAACAAATGACATCTTCATAAAATATCCTCACGGTGTTTTCTTATTACTGATCAGATCACTTACAGAAACACGTCAGAGGATAAAGAAAGAGAGGGGTGTTATAGGACGGTCTAAATCTAGATTTCCGGTGGAATTTAGTCCAATCTTCTTTTTCATTTAATTCCACAAGAGTGCTCCTGGAAAGTGTCTACAGGGCGGGGGACCAGCGAACCGGGACCAACCCACACTTCCCTGAAAAGCACACTGCGTTTGACCAGAGTCTAATCCCTCTTAGCGCTGTGGTTAAAGGCTGTGTGATATTTGGCCCTAATATAGAAGCAGATGAGTGTGGGAGAGGGCTAATACAGCCTGGAGGATGAGGAGGAGGAGGAGCCTGTGAGGTGGTCCCAGTTGCTGTAGAGAGCGTAGGCCCCAGACAAGGCTAAACCAGCCAGGCCTCCTCGGGCTACACCCTTTAGGCCACCTGCAAACATACAGTAGTGACAGAATGGGTGTGAGTAAACATAAAACAAACATGCATTAAAAACATCTGTCCAACAATAAATAATTCTTAGCATAATAAATAGTATTCAACATTCTGCATGCTGTCGTCGTTCAGTAAGATCACTCACTTAGACGACAACTTGTGAAACCACAAATATTTCAACAGGAGAATTTTATACAGAGAGGCACTCTTGGGTTGAAGTCAATGACACTACACAGTAATGGCAGATAATAAAAGAAGAAAAGACACTTACTGCCTGATTTGAAGAGCATCCCAGTTAGTGTCCCAGCAGCCACTGTGTTGATGTCGTCCTCTGCTCCTCTGGCCTTCTCTATCGCCACCCCAAACACACTGTACAACAAGGCTGCAATGGCAGAGAAAAATCCAGATTTACACAAGAGTCAAGCCATTCAAAAGAGGGAAACTTGAAAATGAACATATACCCAACATCAACAATATTATACATTTAAATAGATAATGCTTGCTTACATGTTGCAATGTGATTTGTATCCATGAGATTAGTGAATATACTAGTTGAGATTATCTTTTGTCTTACCAACAGAGCCAAGAGAGTTGGCCCATGAAGCACCCTGTCTGGTCACCATGTTGAGAATCCTGAGGAGAGAAAGCTCACATTTAGATCTAGGTGTAGTAACAGGAATAATACTGCTGGGTTAACTGAACTCTGTCTCCACACTTACTGTACATTACGAGGTTTTGACCATCCCATGTCTCTAGTGTCCTTGATGCTCATTCTGAGACCATTCACAGCTCCAAATGCTGCTCCTACAGTCACAACAAAGAGGCAGAAAGGCCGAGTGAGACATTAGGTTGAAAAAATATGTGACTTTTTAACATGTAATTCCCAAACTATGAGACACGATCTGCTGCTGAAACAACCTCTTTTTTGGGAAGGTTTTGGCAAGATTTTGGGATCCTAGCTGAAGGGATTTGCTCCCATTCAGTCACAAGGGCATTATTAGGGTCAGCCATTGATTTTTGGTCAAACAAAAACCTTTCTAAAACAGTTTGTTGGAACCACATGGTTGTCCCAGTATCATTGCATGTTGTATTTCAATACACTACCAAGGAACCAAGTCAAAACACAAAAAACAGACACGAAGTTGTGGAGAAAGTACAAAAATCTAAGTGAACAGCAGCTGTGTCCACATACTTCTGACCTACACTGTACAAATATACTCTTATTTTCACTACATTTGTCCCAATTATATATAAAATGTTCCAATTAAACAGAATACATTTAGTTTTAGGTACAATTTAGGGAAATTGTAACACTATGATGTTGCTGGTGTTACTCATCTCTTACCAGTCATGCAGGATCCTCCAATGGTGAAGAAAGCCAGTTCAAACCTCCCTCTTGTTTTATTGGCGCCTGTGGGAAGAATAAACTCATCTGTGTCCTGAAACAAAAGATCAACAGACGTTACAGTCAGAAAAAACACATAAAAACACATTCATTTAACACCAAAAAGAGCTAAAATGCTACTTTAGCTTAGTAGCTTACCTGAACCAGGTAACGAGGGTCGACATTGAGGTAAGGGGACAGAGGACTCATTCCAGTCACTGAAATGACATTACAACAGACATATTAGATCACTTGTTACATTTATATATATTGAGAAAATTGTATTTACAATGTTTTTAAGGTAATGAAGCTGTAACAGTACAGCCGTTACCGGTTTTAAGCTAACTAGCTAAAGCTATGTGAACGCTTACAGGGAACACCGGCGAGCTCTGTGTTGGAGTATTCGGGTGCACCGCCTCCAAAGAGACCCCCGATACCTCCTTTCATTCCTCCCGATCCTTGTGAGCTGCTGTCCATGGCTGTGGAGGATCCTCGACGGGTCACCTGGGGAAAACCGGATCCGCTAGCCGAGCTGGCTAACGTTAGCAAGCGCTAGCTATGTCGCAAAATACTCAAAATCAAAGAAAAAATTATCAACGACAAAACGGCTGGATTCACCGACACAAACAGACGTTGTCCTGTTAACGTGTACGTTGAGTTTTACGGGTGAAAACACAGGCTTTACGTTACAGACTAATGAGCTCGCCTTATCTTCAAACCCCTGACCTCCAGTCCAGCAGCACGCTCTGCCGTAAAGCGACAACTGACGAGCTGTCGTTACGTCAACATAATGTACCATGACATGTGGGGAAAAAACATACAATACTGTCATAAACATCAATTGAATCTCATGATTGCAAGACCATAACTCTTTTAAATGTGACAAATAAAGCTACAAAGCCGTTTTGATAACAATTTGAAAGCCCTATGACTTTACGACACCTCCAGGGCAAGAGGTATGAAACGACCAGGACATTACAAAACTGACTCCAGGCGAAGAAAAGAGAAAACGTTATCACGACGTCGTTAAATTGATATATACCAACACTACATACATATGGATTATAAAATACAATATATTAAATCATGTTTCTAACTTTTCGTTAAGTGAGTTGGAGTCTGACATCATAGTATTTATTTTGCCTTATAATAACTCAATAAAAAAATATTGAACAATGAATTTACAAAAAGCATGTACAAATCCTTGAAACAAACATAACAAATAAAATAGAACAAAATACATGAATATCAAAAACCTTGAATTAATATATGAAATAAAAATATAAAGTGGTCTGTTTACAAGGCCAGTAAGCCTTACAGATATTACAACTGTTCTCCTGCAGTATTTACATTTTTAATCAGTAAATATTCCAGTTTCTCCTTCATTACCCATTCGTACATTATATACATACAGTAAGTCATGAGAGTCAAACTGAAAATGTTTTTGCTGACAGCTTTTCTGGGAGTGACATCAAGACACAAGATGTTCGGTGGTTTCAATGTTTGCTTTGCAGAAAAAAAGACATTACTGTTGAATCTGGATTTGAAACTGGATGTATACACATGTATAGCATGTATTATTTAGCCTTGGGCAATATGGGGTAATTTAACAATTTAGTACATCTATTGTTTGATGCAGCAACTAATGATTCTTTTTCATTAGTGATTAATCATTTTGTGTTTATAATGTTGAAAAATGGCCATCCCAACTTCTCAGAACCCAAAGTGAGTTCTTGAAATTGCTCATTTTACTCTGACCAACAGTTATAAATTGAAAGGTATTGACAATTGCATACAACGGGGCGCCCCTGTGGATTTAGACACCAACTATAAACAGAAATGTCAGCGATTTGAGACTGACTGAAGACCTTTCTTACATCTCTCTGTTATCTCTTTTCCATCTGTAATAAAGACACAAAAATCCCCCCCAAAATACTCGTGTTTAGGAAGCTGGTACATGTGAATGTTTCAGATCTATCATACAGTTTTTTGCTGCACACCTGTTGCAGTTCATGCATCTTGTCAGATAAAATAGTGGAGTTCCTCACAAGCTACACAGAGAGGCAGCAGAGAGCTGATAGTAAAAACAGACCAGCTTCATAAGAGTCAAACCTGTTGCTTCTGATACTCCTCACTCCTCACTACAGTTACTCCTGCTTTGATTGAATGATTTAGTTAAATTGGTTCTCAGGTCCAAGTGCAAGGTCAATTTGTTTGACTGTTTGCATAGCTTGAAGAAGAGAGGTAGAGCTGGCTTAAATAAACATGACACCTGTCGGGGCCTTTGGATGCGTGCTTTCTCACCTTGCAAACCTACAGGGTGCTCCCCCATGATGCAACAGGGGGGTGAAGACCACACAGACACATGCACACGTACGCGCACATCTATGCAGCGCAGCCCCGGGCCATCTGCTGCCAGTCAAAGGGACAGAGAGGCACTGAAGGAATTCAGTGTGTTGAATTTCACGAATAACAGAGCATCTTATTTGGATTCTGCCATTGTATGTGTGTATTCAGACGGGGCCAAGTGGAGCGATGAAGTTTGCCATTGTCGCCCAGTGTGGGTGTTTTCAGACTCTCTGGCATGATCTGTGAGTTAGTGTTCTCTGTGTTACTGCCCAGTGTGCCCACTGTCTTTGCCACAATGCTCCATTCAGTCCCGGGTCTCTCTCTCTCTCTCTCTCTCTCTCTCTCTCTCTCTCTCTCTCTCT